TTCCTGGGTACTGAAGACTAACTTTCCATCTGTAAATTTGTCTAAGGGTCCAGAAACGATATAGAATTTCTCAGGCTTTTCTAAGGAGGAAGTATACTAGTTCTATGACTGGGATCCCTGCGCAGCGCAACCGGCCCAGGGGCTGGGGCTCGGCCCCTGTGGAGGAAGCCCACACACGTGCTGACTGACCGGCTGGATGCCGGGGGAGGGACGGGGGCAGGGGCAGGGAGCACCAGCCCCTCCCTCCCTTGAGCACCAGAGTAGGAGGGAACCCTATTACGGTCTGTCTGTATCTGCTGCACAACTGTTCTGGTTTTCAGGGTATAAACTCTTCCCTTCTATCATTAAGCTAATGGGATAAAAGTGCCTCAACTCAGCCAACATTTTCCATCTCCAGGGTGGAGAAGAGCTTTTCAAGGATGTCTATTTGAAGGGCCACTGTGCCCACCTTCAAGGAGCCCCAGTGACCTGGGAAGAGCAGTGCAAATGATGGCCTCGTCCATTTGAACAAGAGCCTTTGGAACCTCTGGGAGAAGCGGCGATCACACCCCAGGGAAATCAGATGTGGCCTCACAGAGGGTTCACGTGGAAACTGAACCTCGAAGGGAGTAACTTATAAATTGTATTAACAATAATTACAAAAAAGAGGGCTTTCCACATGCTGGGCCTAGGCGATACAAGGAAGTTAAGAAGGGATCCCCATCCTCGGGGACTTTGCAGATTAGCAAAGGGCACAGACAGGTAAGCGGTGTGTGCTGTACACTGGGATGAGGTCGGCCTGCAGAGGAGCTGCCAGGCAGCGGAGGGAGGAAGTGGTGCCCACAGGCTCCCCACAGGGCATCGTCTGAACAGTCTAATGAGGCTTGGTGGGCCGCAGAAATTGCCCAGGGGAAATGAGGAAAAGACTAACAAGGCAGGGACAGCTCACTGTGCAAGGACTTAGAAGGGGGATGGGAGCAGCGGTATCAGGAAAGAGGTCCTAACTCAGCCTGGGTGCAGTGCAGGTGGGGCTGGTGGGCAGCGAGCGGGTGGGGCTGAGAGCCCAGCAGGGGCCATGGGAAAGGCTTTGCTTGCCCTTGGTTTTGCCTCCGTAGGCCACAGAAACCAACAAAGAGTTAGAAGCTGGGTTAGACATGTGCGCAGGTAGGGCCAAGTTGAAGCTGGTCAAGGAAGCCACGACTCTGGCCCCTGGGGTGGGGGGGGAGCCACATGAGTCTCGAGTGCCTTTGTGCCCGGGGCTTAGCCCTGGCCCTTGGCTGTGCCCTTGGGCAGTGCGGGCTGACACCTGTAGGCCTGCTTTCGGCTCAGGCTGCCCTCCGGGTGTCAAAGGGACACCTGCAGTGCAGAGCTGTGGAGCTGGCTCCACACAGGTGACTCCATAAAGCCTGGAACACATCCTGGGAGAGCCCCGGTGGGACCGAGTGGTCCCTCTTTTCCACAGCCCCATCTTCCCATTACGTGTAAGCCACTGTGGCGGGGGCTGTGAGACCTGTTCTTATCCAGGGTCCCCTCAGCATCAGACGTGGGCCTTGTATTCAGTGGGGGTTTGAAAACCACCCAGGAAGACAGTGCCTAACTCTTCTCAGAAAGCAGACTGATCTCAGCACTTCCCCACACCCAGTAAGCACAGTGGGCAGTGACCATTAACACCCAACCCATCTGGTTTCATGTAACATGAGGGCCACTTTAGAACAAAACTAAATCACGGCCACAAACTAACTTACAGGAAGTCAAAATGACTCTGCAGGAAGATGTCAACCGTTTTCCTCCAGGTTGGATGTGTGACCTCTGGCACCAAACCTGCTGGGTTTGAACCCCGTTCTGCATTTGCTGCCTGTGTGACCCCGGGGGGCAGTAAAGTCACTGTGCTTCTGCTTCTTCATAGGTTAACAAACAGAAAATAACAGGACCTTCCTCACAGTGTTACTGCGAATATGAAATGAGGCTAATAACGCATGCTCAGGACAGGCTGGCAGCTGTCCGCATTATTATCTCTATTTCTCTTTATACGTAGTTTTTCTAGCCCAGGAGGACTGTGTACTCAGGGAACACAGAGCCTAAGAGAGAGTAAGAGAAGGAGGAAGAGGTGCACTGATGTCTAACAAGATGCTGCAGATTCTTTTCATGTTGAAACAAAGGTGTCTTTTGTTTCCAGAAGGGTCAAAATGTTTGCTCGACAATCTTGGACTGCAGACAAAAGCAAAATCAATATCCCGGATGATTGGCTCTATGGCCAACTCCAGACGAATAAAGCTATCAGGGACCCTGCAGCAGACAGCCGCAGTGGGGTGCCCCGGCCCCTGGCACATCCTCAACTGGGCCGCAGAGTTCTGATGGGGCTGTCCTCACACACATGACCCAGGCCAGGAACCTTTGAGACTCCACAAGAGAAAGAAATGAGCTCTCCAGAACCTACTCCTAGGATGGGCTCTTAGAGGAAAATGTGCTTCGTGCCCAAGTTTTTAACCAACACTTATTTTTTGACTAAACCAAGTCAATGCGAGGCTCTGGGCAAGTCAGTTGACCTTTCTAGGCTTGTTTTTTCATAGGTACTACAAGAGGACCGTACGAGGTCTGTGTTAACTAGAACCATGTACTGACTTACTTTCCACCTCAGACACTTTCTGATGTTTAATTCAGGCATGATGGAAAAACCAGATTGGCCCACCCCATTCACATAAAGCTAAACGAAGCCCCTCCCAGCCCGCAAGGTGAGACAGTACACTGGCGGGAGGGAGGCCATGAACCAGCTTTGCATTTTAGAAGGGGGGCTTTTTCAGCCTTCGACCCGAAACCTGGGAGTGAAAGGCCAGGACTTGCAGAGCAGGTGGGAAGGCCAGCACGGGCCCAGGATCTCACTCCACACGCGGGCACTGCGGCGTGTGGTCTGCAGCCGACCCTCCAACAGACCGGAGGGCTCTTGTCTGCAGAAGGGTGACCCACGGCAGGTGGGGAAGGGCCAGCCTCACCTCTGTATCTCCACATCCTTTCCAATTTACCAGGTTTCTTTTTTAAAAAATTTCCCTGGAGGAAAGAAATGAACACATTCAGTGACAAGGACAATAACAACAAGTCATAATAATGAGAAAAGCCAAATAAGCCCATGTCAGTGCATTTTTTTCTTAGAGATTTATTTTTGTTTGATGAATCTGACACCGGTCAGGGAGAGAGGAGAATGTGGGGAGCCCCGCAGGGAAATGAGCGCCCAGAGGAAGGGCCGCTGCCTCCTGCGTGGGAGGGGTGGTGTTGGGCGGTGGTGGGTGGTTTAATCTGTTGCTGGAAGTTTTCCTTTTGTTCACTTTTATAAATCTCTCCCAGGCTTGCGAGCTTCCCCTCCCACCCACCTCCCTCCCCCTCGCCCCCCAGTTTAATTTTTAAAAAGCGAGCTCGCTCGCCAGGTGTGTCCCCCAAGCTCTCACAGCTCTAATAAATAAGGAGCACCTGTAAAACAGTAGCTTGACTTGTGAAGTGACTGTACAAAGGAGAATATAGAAATACAGTATGTACACCGCATCCACGGGCCTGTGGTGCTTCGGGGCCAGCGCGACACTGTCTCGGCCTCGCCACCCACCCGCCCGTCACCCCTCTTGTGGCCGGCTCAGCGGCCTGGTAGGCGGGGGCACCTGGACCCCTCCAGAGGGAACAATTGCTTTATTTGAGTTAGTAAACAGGTACACTGAATCACAAGGTGATTTGATTTTTTTTGTTTGTTTTCTTCTTTTTTGGATTTTTTTCTTCTTTTTTCTTTTTTTTCTGTACTCATCAGAAGGGGATACTCCACGACTGTCTCACCGACTCAGTGCCAGTACACATGCGCTAGAGGACTTCCGGACTCGCAGCTACGACTGTACAAGTGCACACAAGAAAATCTACCCTGTTATCCTCCACCCACTGATTGAGGATCGAATTGCACATTTCTCTTAACCATGACAGGAGAAAGCAAACAGTGAAACAGAATCATGGGTGATCTTTCTCACTCTCCCTCTTGTTTTCATTGGTTCGTCCATACCATTCTAATTATCAGGAAAGGGCTCTGCGTATGGAGAGATTGCTTCATTGACTTCCTGGATCACCGAAAACCATCAGGGCTGAAATTTCATCCAAGTCTTTCGTGACGCCCAGCAAATATTCCCCCTCGGATTATTTTACACCTTGAGGGCATTTTGGTCTTCAGTTCAACACTCTTGCTCTGTTCCCAAATGGGGTGCTATTTAGGGGAATTTAAAGAGAAAGCTGAGAAGAATAAACATTTACCGAGTTCTCTTGGCATTCGGTCTCTGAAAAACCACATTATAAACTATTCATGCTGCTTCTTACATCTGTCAAATCGAAAATTAAAAGCCATAAAAGTGTAACACTGAAAATATGGCATTAAAAAGGATAAAGGTGGCCTTTGTAAAAATAACAAGAAAAGTATATCAGCCAATAAAATATTCTAACTCTTCATTTAAAAGTGCATCCTGGGCAGGACAGAGACGAACCTGAAGTGCCGGGACTCCGGTGCGACCCCTTTCCGCCGTCAAAACGTGAACAGTAAAGGTCCGAAACCGTACAATGCAAATCACAATTCTTCGTGTAGCAGCAAAACCACAGCAGTTTTTAAAAAGTGTAAAAAAAGATTTTTGTTTTCAAATCCGTATCATCTTCCAGCCTCACCCTCTGAGCCTGGAGGATGGAGCAGGGAGAATACCTACATTGGTCCTTGTGGCTTGTTGGTGCTTTGTGTTTTTTTAAAACCAAGGGTGAAATCCCTAAGTTCCTCTGGGGAGAAGCAGAGATGGAGGCAGCAGGAAGGCTGGACCTGCTTGCTGGGTCCAAGACGTGCTGGCTTCTCTGGGCTAGAGGCCACCGAGGGAGGGCTGCTTCCTCGGAGATGCTTAATGACAGGAAGCAGCTTTATTTGCTTGAGTTTTAGCCAGAGGGGGTGGTGAGCTGACCAGCTGGTGTCATTGGATGTCGTGACATGGCTTGCTCTGCGCCCTTTCTCCATGCAAGGTACCCTGTGAGTGTGTGTTCCTGGAAAAGAGGAGAAGGGGCCTGTCAGAATCCACCGGACCAAACCTCCCCTCCCCCTCACCCCGGGGCTGGGGAGACCCCAGGAGCCAGTCAGAGAAGCGCTCTCTCCAGCCGGCAGGTCAGGCCTGCAATGACACCCCAGAATTAAGGCAGCACAGCGTGACTTCGGCATGACTTCCATTCACATTTCTGCTCAGGGTCAGCTGCCAGCTTTGTGTGAGCAAATGAAACTCGAATCACTTTATGAAATAACACATCGAGCATGGTGCACCACGGCCTGCCCTGCAGACCACAACAGCGGCCTCTGCCACTGGGCAACGGTCACCCTCCACCTCACAGTTCCCCACTGGCAGGAGGTCTTTTGAGTTGCCGAGGTCACCTAAAAGCCAGCGGAGGTCACCACGAGACCCTGAAGCTCCAGATCGCACCCCTGCACTCCAAGCAACAGTCCTGGTGTTTGCCGCAGAGGAGGAAAGCCAAGATTCACTTCTCAGCCCAGGAAACAGTTCTGTGGATGCAGCGACTTCTCTTCAGAGATTTCTTACTGAGGCAGCCGAGCTGGAAAACATGCCCCCTCTGTGGGTCTCGCCTGACAAAGGTGAGCCATTCAGATCTCTTCACATCAAAACCAAACAGCAGCTTGGGACTGGAAGGCTGGAAGGCCTCGGGGGCCTGGAGCAGAGAGAGGGTCTCAACAGCCTTGGTCACCAGCAAAGTAAGTTTCTGGGAAATGCCCACCCCAACTTTCACCACAGATGTTAGGCTCTGCCTCACTGTTTCTACTGGTTTATTCCATTTGCTGCCAGTCCCTTGGTTTAAAATGTACCTTCCTAAGGACACTTGGTCACTCCCAATAAGCAGGCATTTAGAAGTCTGCCAACCCAAATATGAAGACCCTGAAGTCTGGGACTGTGTCTATTTTGCTCACATCTCTACAGACCCCAGTTCAGCTGAACACGCATTTGTCAGATGAATGAGGGTCAAGCAGCTCTTGTCCCCCATACCCCCCAAAAGGACCTTTTTCTTCCTGCCAGTCAATGGGAATGTCAGAAATGTGCATGTAAAGTTTGACTAACTGACGTGGTGAGAAAGGGCTCAGAAACATCTTTAGAGCTACTGAGGTTATTCCTAGAACAATGAACAAATAATATCAGACAGGCGAGACTTTAGAACTTGAAGGGGCCCCAGAGATAACATGTTACAATTTCCTCATTGTATAGGTGAACAGGTGGAGGCCACAGCGGGACCTGGAAACCTGCTCAGAGCGTCTGCGGCAGGAACTGAGCACAGGTGTGAGGAGGCGCAAGTGTCCGCCGGGAGGGCTAAGTGCAAGCTTGTCCTTTAACCCTGCTTTCCAGACCCTGGTGTTAATGGTAATGATAATAATGATCAACCAAAAACAAGGTCTGAAAGTCTAAGTGTACACGACAGGAAATGCCTGCGTTCCCCAAATCACACTAAATCACCAGATCTGTGCGCACTTACCATGCACATTAAATAACCAAAGCGAACATGCAACACCCCACAAATATGCAGTGGGGGCGGAATTACAAGGCCATGGAAACCTTTTTATTTGGCATGGTCCAATTTGGAAATGTGGATGTTTATCTCTGAATAAAGAGCTCACTTTGACTTTCTTTCCTTCCTCCCTTCCTTCTTTTAGAATGAGACGACAGCAAGAAAGGATACAAAAACAAAAACACCAAGAGCCACCCCCGAACGTGAGACCGCAAAGCGTTGGAAAGGAGCCTCAGACACGACAAGGATCCATAGACGCGAGTGCAGCTTCTTCTGGGGACAACTCTTCTTCACGTGGGCAGCACAGCCTGCAACTTGCAGGGGAAGAAGGGAAGCCACCCCCACCTCTGAGCCGGGGACCAAAAGGGATCAGATTGTATAGTCAGAGGGGGCCTCCGAATCCTTTCTTTAGAAAAGGAAAAGGAAAAAAAATGTTTACCACTTTCTTCCAGTGACTCGGAAACGCCACCATTTTGAATTACTCAAGATTGCTGCCACTGCTTTTTCAAGGATGTAGCTCTTTCTCTTTAATGTAATCGTGACCCCCCGATGGAGGATTACTTCTCAAATAAGTTTCTTTATATTCAAATCACCTTTGGACAAGGGCCAAACATGGGCAGCATCGGCCCACTCGGAGAAAATTTCAAGGCTTTCATAAGGGACTGGGAAAACGGGATTATAATGAGAGCCATTCTGGACCCTTAACTACAGCATTTGCCATCCCAAACACTATAATAATCGTTATTATTCTCTGGTATCTATTATTGTCTGGTAAATAATACGTGTTTTCCCCAAAGTTCTGAAGGCTGCAGCTGCACCACACTCTATTTTCTGCAGCCCCGCTCCCGCTGCTTTGAAAGCCTCCCCGCACCAAGCGGATTTTCTGGAATGGCAGAGCAGACAATTTGTGCCGCTCCCTTCCCTCTCGCCCTCTCTGTGAAGTGTCTGGGACACCCACAAAGGCCAGACGGTGGCAGTACAAGTCCCTTTCTGCTGAAAACTTTTGAGGAGGGGGTTCACTTGTTCCTCTGGCTAGGGTTCAAAGCAGTCCCCTTGTCGGCGGCACAGGCGCAGACTCTGGAGAACCAAGTGTGGGCTTCACCTTCCTGACAGTCGTTGGTGGGCAAGTCAGGGGTGGGGAGCAGGCAAGCCTGGGGCTTTAAAATGTGATCATGGTGGGAAGTTCCAGAGCCTGAGCGGGTTCCAACTTTGCCTTGGCCAAGCAGAGGGATCGTAGGGAAAATCTGTCCTCTGCTGAAATTTCTTGGTGGGAGCGAAGGGTAAAATAGCACAGTAAGACAGAAACTCAAGTTACAATCTTGAGCAGTGTGACCTCAGACCTATTCCTTAACTGCCCCCCCCCCCCACCACCAAGCCCTGATTCCTTCTCTGTGAAATGGGGGCCTGGGTGACATTTCCTATTATATCTTCCGTCTCTCGTATTCTGTGATTGTAGGATGTTTGCACCAAAGCCAGGACCAAGTGTGGAAGATTATAAACTTGAGCAGTTGGATATTAACCTATTATCAGTGTGTAAGGAAGACTTAATTTCTGGACTCCAAAGTCCAAAGTTTCAGAGAGTCTCTATTAACCTCTCTCTCTCTCACTTCTGGTAGAGATTTATGGAACACTCCTCAAGGCAAGGGGTTCTTCAGAAGGGGCTACAGTTGCACCTTACGCTTGGGTTTTCCTTGGCACTGGGGTTTGTCTGAAGGCAGAACAACCCAGGGCCCTGTTACATGGAACATCACCGCACATCCTTCGTCCCTTATACCATGTATGTGCTGTGTGTGCAGACGGCTCCGCCACGAGTGGTCTCCAGCGAGGTGCCTTCAGAATTCCGGGCCCACTTGCCCCCTCGGGCCAGAGGAACAAAGCGCCTCCCTCGTGGAATTGCACCTGCATGCCGAATGCAGAGGGCCCCCCTCTGCCCACCTGGCGCTTTTCCTCCTCGGCAGGAAAGCACCGCCAAGAATGTGATCGCGTTACTCACCCTCCTTGATCACATAAGGATGTTCGGAGCATTACGGAGAACGGAATTGTGCTGAGTGCTAATACATTCTTGCAGCTGACACTGCCAAAATACGGCCATTGTTTCCTTTTCTCCTTTGGCCTTTACTGCCTCAGACTCACGCGGGCTACACGTCAAAGGAATCTTCCAAGTAACCACTCACCGAAATAAATCCTGAGGAAAACGCCTCTTATTCTCTGTCCCTAATCAGTTCCTCTGTGGCGTGGCGGAGCACCTCTCCAGAAAACCTGCTTCGATGAATCTTATCCATTTCCCAAACATTTACTCTCCTTCCCTTCCTCAAATACCTTTGTAATTAGCACAATGAAAATCCAGCAGACTGTCCTGTCTTACCTGCTCAGCAGGCAAGCTCCCCCTGTCTGTTCATAGTTACTCCCAGCAGTCCAAAACCCCATGGCATAAACTCTGTGACGTGCAAGAAATGCCTGTTGCCAAGCCGACCTGCCTTTGTCCAATTAGCCGGGCCCGATCAGTGACGCCACTCACTCAGGCACGCTGACCCATCACTTATCACGGTTAAATACAGCCATTAAGTGCTGGCTTCAGCTGTGCTGTTTATCTGGACAATAACTAGTCCCCGAGGACAAGACGGTTCTCAGGTACCTGCAGCTATTCTGGGACACTCAAAAGGGTAGAGCCCTGAGGTTGGTGAACAGAGCCACCTGCGTCAGCTGATAAACCCAGGTGTGATGCTAGGTAGTGGTCTCCAACCAGGCCCATCCCAGAAAGAGCCACGACTTGGCGAGGTTTTGCCAGAAAAATTGTTCTCCCTCTCTCCCTGTCAACCCTGGTTTCCTGAAGAGCTGTGAAATGGCTTTTATCAAAATGGAAAGCATTTTCACTTATAAAATGAGTGGCATCTCTTTCCTTATAGTTCAATAATTGACACCAGTCATTAAATAAAAATCCCTTCTTCTGATAGTGTGACTGTTATGGAAAATGACCCAGAGTGAGGAATGGGGTGCAGGGACCACGGTCAGCTGCAGCTCAGCTCGGTGCCGGCTCTGGTCCGAACCACAGCTTCGTCCCCCGTGCTGCTCACATCATGGCTCTGACAGGCTAAAGCTCATGTATATTTTTTTGAAGAAATTTAACCACAGGCTTTTCTTTTTCAAAAATAATTTTCTTCTTTAGCAATATCTCTTATTTTTCTTTTTTAAAAAAGATTTTATCTATTTTTAGAGAGAGGGGAAGGGAGAAAGAGAGGGAGAGAAACATCAATGTGTGGTTGCCTCTCGCATGCCCTCTACCAGGGACCTGGCCTGCAACCCAGGCATGTGCCTTGACTGGGAATCAAAAAAGGGCTTTCATAAGGGACTGGAGACCCTTTGGTTTGCAGGCTGGCACTCAATCCACTGAGCCATACCAGCCAGGGCTCTTATTTTATTAATCAATAAAAATCACAAACATACAAGACCTACTACTGGAATAACTCCATCTTTCTTTGTTT